CCAATGCAGTTCCCATTATAACCAATTAAAAATAATATTAAGATGAATAATACTGTAATAACTGTACTGTTTATTGGTTGCTAATGTTAAAAATACATGAACTAATACAACCTTATTGTACTCAGTTACCCAATTTCCATTAAAATCAATGCAACTCTCATTATAACCATTTTAAATCAAGATTAAGATGAATAATACTGTAATAAATGTACTGTTTATTGATTGCTAATGTTAAAAAACACATAAACTAATACAATCTTCATGTTAATGTTACCCAATTCCCATTATAACCATTTAAAAACAACATTAAGGTGAATAACACTGTAATAATTGTACTGTTTATTAATTGCTAATATTAAAAAATACATTAATTATTACAACCTTATTGTAAATGTTACCCAATTCCATTAAAACCAATGCATTTCCCTTTATAACCGATTAAAAACAATATTAAGATGAATAATACTTTAATATGTGTACTGTTTATTGTTTGTTAAAGGTAAAAAATACATTACTAATACAACCTTATTGCAAATGTTACCCAATTTCCATTAAAACCAATGCAGTTCCCATTATAACCATTCAAAAGCAACATTAAGATTAATTAATTAATTAACACTGTAATAATTGTATTGTTTATTAATTGCTAATATTAAAAAATACATTAATTATAACAGCCTTATTGTAAATGTTACCCAATTCCATTAAAGTTTCCATCCTGTGTAATAAACCGTCAAATTTCCATTAAAACCAATGCAGTTTCCATTATAACCATTTAAAAACAATGCATTATTACTATTATTTTTAGGCATGGAGTTCATTTTTAAACGTAAAAATTAATGTAATGTAAAGTAATGTAAAGATTTTTTAGCAGCAAGCAAATATTTATCCCCAATAATAGTGCATATGGAAAATAAATGATAAACGTTATAGTGTGTGTGTGTGTGTGTGTGTGCATTATTAAAGCATGAAAAAAAGAGTTTAGAGATAGAAATGAGTGAGTCTCACCTGCTGAAAGCTCAGAGAGAAACAGCAGAAACAAACACACACACACACACTGATTCACAGACCTGAGATCTGCGGCACGTGACCACAGTGAATCAGTGTGTGTGTGTGTGTATCACATGAACGCTGCTCATCACAGCAGTGATGTCCTGAAGGTGTGTGTGTGTGTGTGTGTGTATCGTCACACTTCACTCACGCTGTTTGTTTTAAAGTCCCGATGTTTACATCCTATGATTCCTGTTTATAGAGCAGCTGTCTGAGCACAAGTGAGATCAATTACATGTTCAGTGCCACCGCTGCCCCCGTGTGTGTGTGTGTGTGTGTATGTTAGAGAAAGAACATCATTTGAACCACAAACCACTTCCATTTATAGTCAGAGGCCTGCCAGTGTGTGTATATACTGTGTGTGTCTGTGTGTGTGTGTGATGTAAAATGACATTCCGTCTCAGTGTCTTTTTACCATCATGAATCTCTCTCTCTCTCCTCTCTCATCACTCACTCACACACACACACACACACTGTTCTTCTGTGCAGTGTCTGTGTGTCATCTGGACAAACGCCACACAAGTCATCTGCTATATTTCAGTTTGTCTCCTGATCAGACAGACACACACACACACACACACACACACACACACACACACACACACACACACACACACACACACACACACACACACACACACACACACA